TTTTTGTGATTTTCTTAAGTTGTATTGTATTGAAAAATTAAAAGGCGTACCGCTTCAGTACAAAATGGGGAAAAAAGGATTTTGATTATATTGTGCGACTCTGAATTCCCTGTTTTGATTTTTCATCGACTGAGTTTAGGGGTTTGAGCTCAAGTACTTAACTCGTTTTTCTTCTAGACATCCTGGTCTCTTTTTACAATGTGTTGCATTTAAATTGAGATTTTAATAGGTTTCTAAGAAATTGTTTAATATAAGAGGTATGAATTTTGTTTCTTCAGGAACTTGCTATCTACAAATAGTAAATAAATTTATAAATAAATATATATTTTTATTTATCTATTCCACTCTTATAAAAAGCAGCAATTTTTTAAAAGATAAAAGATTTTAAAAGATTTGAAAGATTTTTTAAAAGAAATATTTGAAAAATTCTTTCGTTTGATAGGACGATAATTTGGGAAAGGATGTACAAGGTTGAAAAAAAGAAAAGGAAAGGAATTCAAGAAAGGATGTCTAACGCAAAAATGTTTTATCTAGTGATTTATAATAAGTTTAACTTTAACAGCAAATTAACAAAACTCCTACTCAGAACATACAACTCAAGTACGACTTTGGATCAGTTGGCTAATGAACACTGACTCTGAGCTTTAAATTTGGCAGGGCATGCGTTCACCCTTGGTACTTGCAGTGTCAAAAAAAATTTTTACGAATAATTAAATATAAGACACATAATTCCAAGACCACTGATGATGGATATTTGGCAATACTCGAAACAGCTGCATTGTCAGCCAAAAATTCAATTATTGAAAATAATATAAAAAGAATTTTTGTTGTAGTGGTTCACTACTATTCAAAACCCCTCTATAACAAGTTTACTATAGAGACAAAATTAGTATCTTCTAAAAAATTTGGATAAATGCTGAAACTTTAAACCGCTATTGCGAGAGACTTAGATGTGTAGAAGAAACAGTAGTTGCAGATTTGAGTCTAACAAGATATAGTTATAGTTTTGTTTGATCTTGTAATATTAAAAGATATATAAGAATGTTATGGTGCGTTAACATTATTTGAAAAAAATTGTAGAATATGTATTTAGATTTGACAATAAACAAATAAAGACTAAAGCAACAAAAATTTAACACATAGATCTTGTCCACCATAACACATGGTGGTATAGTCTTTGATGGCAGTAGTGAATAGCGCATGATCGTCTTGATTGACAAATAGCTCCGAATCGTTGTTATTACTCGTAGTGATCTATATAGTAGATAAAAAGAAAGTAATTATAAATTCGAACACATAGTTAAAGTTATGATATACTTGGGTACAGGACGTGTGAAAGCGAAGGGTATTATTTGGGAACATGAGTGGATAAGGGATTGGTAGGATTTTAATTAAAGCAGGTTAGGATATACTTGGGTAAAGGAAATGTGAAAAGAAAAGGAATTGTTTGGAAATAAGAGTGTATTAGGAATGGGTAGGATTTTGATTGAAATTAACTTGAAATAATATTTGCTAGAAAAATGTAACAAGTTTAATGGAACGGAGCCAAAGACCAATTGGATTCAAACTGATTTGAAACTTCTTATATGTTAGCGGATGGCGATTTTAAAGTTTCAAATTCTATTTTAGTCAAATGCTTTACTGTGATCGATTTTAAAACCTTTACAGTATTTTTCCACTTGCAATATTTAAATTTTAGCTTCAATTTAAAAATACAATCTACCACTTGAATTTGTTTCGATATATAAATATTGTTAAAAGTTTGAATTATTTTATTAATTTCATTATATTATTAAATTTTTCTTTACAGCAATGATATATCCCATTCAGCTATTAGTGACATGGAAACCATACAACAGGCAGCAGCTCCTAAAACTGTAACCCAACCAAAATTATCCGGATTCGAGAGTGACAATTTCTTTAATGATTATAGTCCATCAATGTACAGCGGAAGTGGTAACAGTACATCTCCCACTTCCAAATTAGATAAACAGGAATTGGAAATTATGGGCTTTGAGACAATAGAATCACATCATTCCAACATTTCTTCCATGTTTTCAACTCCAGATAACGATGTTAAATTGAATATGAATAAGTCAGCTAAACCTGCTTTAGCAGGATATGATACAAGCTATTCACGTAAACCACATACTAAAAATAAAAGTACCCCTGATGACGATAATGCTGCACAAAAGAAGTTTGGAAGTGCAAAAGGATTCGGTTCCGATCAATTCTTTGGAAATGATAAAGTTGAAGCTGATGTATCCACAAATTTGTCAAGGTTTCAGGGATCGAACAGCATTTCATCGTCAGATTACTTTAGCGATGGTAGTAGTCAGTTAAATCGTGGTTCCAGGGGTAAGCTAAACTCATTAATTAAATTCACAAAAAATAATATCTAAATTTTTTTGTAGGTTATAATACTGGAGTAAACTTCCAAGCACCTGATTTGGATGATGTTAAAGAGAGCGTACGACAAGGAGTACACAAAGTAGCCGATCGTTTGAGTTCATTAGCTGTAAATGTGATGAGTTCAATTCAAGATAAATACGGCAACTGATAGTATCTGTGTTCGTAACCATACTTCATTTTATCTGATCTGATCTGATATGATCGTCTAATCTTATTAAATTGTTAAAGCAAACAATAATAGTAAAAAGTGTAAATGAAAGAAATGTTTGAGTAAATAACTCGTAATTCCAATTTATACAAATATATATATTCATAATATTGCATTGAACACAATTAACTCATACATTAACAATAAATATTTGAAACAATCAATAAACAATAAAAAAACTAGTTGCACTGGCGATGCTGAGGAGCATTTAATTTGTGCAACTAATGAACAAATTATGGCGCTTTTAGCAAAGTCTCTCATAGCTTTGTCTTACTTGACTTGACTTAGTGTTTAAATAAATTTTAATGATGTTATGTTGTAAGTAAATAAACACATCCTTTATGATGGTGCATATTTGGAGATAATTATGTTCAACGCTAATAATACACAATATGGCAAACATTTAAAATCATTATTAAATTTAAAATTGTTATGTGACTAGAGGAATAAATATGTTTTCGAATTTTGTTTTATCTTTAATAAAAAAATTTTTTGTCAAACTCTAAGACTTAAACTTAGTCAAACTTAAGACATTTCTTCGAACAACAATTTTAAGCTCTGTTTGAGATGAATTCATTTTATTAATAATTTCACATATTGATATATAAGAAAACAGAATTTAATGTGTATATATATTTTTTCTTTTATTATTCCAAGAGTTTTTATTGAAATGTATTTACTTTATTCAAAAATGTATATTTTAAATAAAGAACACACAAAGTTAATTGTTATTGGTTTTGAATCAAATTAATGTAAATTAAATAAAAAATATATAGGTTTAATAAATAAATTTAAATTCTTTTTAAAGAACCCATATTGTTAAATATGTAATCATTAAAAAATGTAATATATTATTTAGATGTAGAATGAGTTTTAAAAAATTTCAGTTTAAATTACAAAAGATTTACATTTTTGAATTAACTTAAATTTAAGTTCTTACTCGCCATCTACACTGGCTAGACATGACAAGATTTTTGTATTTACGTTTATATTTTCAATAACACAAATATTTGTCATGTTATGTAGAGGTATGTAGAGTGTCATGGGCTCGTCAAAATTGGCTCTTTTGGGTTATGACAAATATGTACGTTATGTGGAGTGTCATAGAAATTGTCAAAATTTGCTTCCAAAAGGCACAAATGTTGGCATTTATCAATAACACAACCTTGTCTAAGTGACGAGGCACATATAGTATCGGCTCTCATGACCAAATTTGAACCGACATATTGTTTTTTTTCTCACATTCAATTTTAAAATTTGCATTGAAAACAACAACAATTTTGTTCATAGCGATCCTATGATATTATATGGCATGGCCCTTAGCTGACAAAGTTCAAAAATAATAAGTATGTGCATTTTCTATTTCTAGTATTTGCAAATTCTAGCCATTGAAGATGCTGAGTTAACATATGTCAAAAAATTAGAGCTTTAAATATAATTCGAACCAAATGCTCCAGCGCAGTGACCTAAAACATTATACGTTGTTGATGTTGTTGTTGTTGTAACAATGTTGTTGTTTATAATGTTTATTTATTACACTCCTTTTACACATATTAGTAGTTGCAAGTTTCATATATTGAACGTAGAATAATATAAGATTTTATTGCTATTTCTTTTTTCCATATCCCTATTAGGGCTCGTGTCTCTTTGTAGTAAAATACCAAAATTTTTAGTCCTGTGTTGTAGATTCTCAGTAGTGCTTGAATTAAGACTAATTGTTATAAATGTCAAAATGTATCAATATATAATTGTCAGGCGATCATAAAGACAATAACGGCGCAGACCACCTTTTTTTAGAAACGTACATAAAGGCAAGAGCACCTATGACTAACTACAGGCCAAAAGATACCTTATGTTCTAGGAACATAGAAGCGAAAAGAAAACGACAAAGCTCCAGAAAAACTCGCAACAGAAAAATTACCAATTTTGTACTTTCTCTCGTTTGAAAGAACTGTAGATTAAGATTAGTATATTTACGAGAAACTGTCTTTTAAGAGTGCACGCTCACAAGATGGGCTTGATGGAAAAAGACAACAGCGGAAAATGCAACTTACCTGAAACAGAAGAGTGTTAGAAACAACGGGTACTAATCGTCCGTTATAATTCTTGAATTTAAAAAGATGGCCAACATTTTCTGCTAAACAGACAGCACACTATTATAAACCCGTACAGAAGTACACAGTTTTCAATAAGACTAAAACTACTTCGTCAAGAGTTTTCGTTAACCTTGTCTTGATGACAAACAGCTTCTCTGCTGAATATTGCTAAATATAGGAAGAAGAAACAGTAGGATTATGTATTCAACAGGAAAAAAACAATTGCAAATATACAGCATGCCGTGATATTTTAAATTAATTCTTAAAAATGGTTTCAATTAAATTTTTGTTGAAATTCATTTAATTCGGTCAAAATTATGGTTTCCGTTAACTTTTGGGCTTCTCAAAATTAGTCTTCCATTGAAAAACCTAAAAGATCGTTTCAATGTGAAATCATTGAAATTTTAAAACAACTTTTCGGACTCGGACGAAAAATCGTTATCAATAGAATGGCAACAACACAACGTAGAGGAGGTTATGATTATAGAGTTTCAGCAATTCAGAACCTCATAGAACATCTTGATGAAGAACTAAAGCAAATGAGTACGAAGGTTTGGGTACCGAAAACTAATGTGAACGCAAATACTGCTAATAACGCTCAAAAAAACAGCTTAAACGCTTACCGCACTCCTATTATGAGTCTTACGAGAGCACCAAAAATTGAGAACATACGGAGTACAAATTACCAGTTTCAACTTGTGTCCAGTACTTATAATGAGCGTGTGTTGAGGGCGTGCCAAAATAGACGAATTTTCATGGTTTCTGGAAATTTTCATTCAATACGCAGGGCGTTGCGAACACGCGGTTGGATAGAAAAATTACCTTCAAACTTCTATCCAAGAATACAAGCACTTTCAGAGAGTACTATAATGAGTTCTGCTAAACCTGGAAATGACTATGAAAAAGTGCTATTATCGAAGCGTTTACATAATTGTCCGGCTTTTTTTATATGGCAATACGCTAATGCCTATGATTGGTATAAAGACGTCTTACCTTATAGAAATCGCATACGTCGTAATCGGGAATTGGATTTTACCACAAAAGTTGGTTTAATCGGTTGCTCCGAACAAAACTTATGGAATCGTGACAATAGTTCACCTGGCATGAATTATCCTCGTTTTTACCGGCTTGGTAGTTCAGCTGAAGAGCGTATAGCATTTATTTCTGACTACTTTAAGACACAATGCCGCAGCCTGATTTTGTACCTGTGGGAATCTCGCGCTAACTTGCAAGATATGGTAGATGAGGATAATGGATCCGTCCCGGGATTCATTGTTCGAGACGCCGTAAAATATGTTGAAGATCAACTTAACGATAAAATGGAAGACGAAGCAGAAAAAAGTCAAGCTGAGTTACAAGTGTTTATAAATTTTTGTTGTAGAGTAATGTTCTACAAAGAGAAGCTCAAAGCAACTGCAGATTATATTTCTGAAAGAATTCAAAGTGGAATTAATGCTATTAAGAAACTACAAATTACACATCCAGACTACAAATGGGATGGTCAACGAAATTTGTGGATTCTAAAACCAGGTTATCAGTGTCGCGGAACTGGTATTGTCATACGAAGAGGACTTGATGATATTCTAGAATATGCCAGAAGAAATACTAGCAGGTGGTATATTGTACAAAAATATATCGGTAAGTGAATAATAAATTGTTCTCAAAAATTTGATTAAAATGCTTGTTTCGATTTTCAGAAAAGCCACTTCTTATATTCAACACTAAATTCGACATACGTGTTTATATGTTGGTCACCATTAGTAGTGATACATTGACTGTCTGGTTATATAAAGATTTTTATCTAAAGTTCAGTTCTCAGCAATTTAGTCTAAGCGACTTAAGAGAGTCGATACATTTGACAAATCACACCGTTCAAAGGAAATATAAAAACGACATAAATAGAGATAGAAGGTTGCCACCTTGTAATATGTGGAATTCCATCAAGTTTCTTAGTTATCTCAGGTATGTGAATTCTCAAGAAGATATCTGGTACAATAAAATACTTCCCGGATTTGAACACAGTTTGTCTGCTGCAATAAAAGCAAGTTTTGATTGCTTGCGGCTCGTTGAAAATTCATTTGAGTTATTTGGATGTGATTTTATGTTAGATGAATCGTTCAATCCCATATTATTGGAAATTAATGCAACACCTGATATGTCTCCTTCAACTGATGTAACGGCTTTCTTATGTCCAAATGTGCTCACTGATTTAGTTAAAGTTGTTGTTGATTATTCTCAAAATTCGGAAGCACCTACGGGACATTTTGACCAGATAATGAAGGTAGATTTCAAGGCAAACAAATCGAAACCAGTTGCTTATGTCAGCGTTAGTGGATTACCATTACCAATAGGAAAGCCTCTGGTGAATACTGCAAAGACATCAATCTTAAAGAAATCTACCAATTTACCAAAGGCTAGCATAAGTGCAAAACCACCTAGTACGGTAGCTGCAAAAAGGAGCAGTACTGCAACTCCAAAGAAATTGTCAACTAATGGTAATATTTTTAAATTTTTCCTATATATAAAAATGATATGTAATGTTTTTTTATAGCCTCTAAAACCGTGAGTAATGCTTCAAAAAACAAAGATATTAAACGACCGATTCCGAAGAAAAAAGTTGTTGTGAAACGAACAAATATCCCATCCAAATAGTTATAATTTATCTAAAACCAGAACTACAATCACATTTGGAAAATAAACAGAAATATTAAGGAAGATGTGCACTAAATATGATAAAAATTAACTTTTTTAATCTAGAGATATTATTTAATTTGATAAGACTTATTTAGTGAATGAAATTGGATAAATCTGTGAATATACTGGAAAAAAGTGACGATAGTTTTTTGCAGTAAGAAAAAATATAAAGGAATTGGTTATTTGGTAATAGATATCGGAAAAATATATGGATATTTGGATAAATTAATAATGCTCTGCACTCTATAATGTCGACCTATATACAAAATATGCCATCAGTATTAAAATTAAGAAATAGATATCCCCTCTGTCGATGTTAAATAAGTAAAACTAATCAAATATGCCAAAGCTGCCTTTTAATATTGAGTAAAGACAAGTCACTTAAATCCAGAATAAACAAAATTAATTTAAGATCCCAAAAGAAATTGAAGACTATAATTTAACTTTGATGATCGAAATGGCTGCATAAGAATTGAACATCTGGCAAGCTAGAATTGGAATTAAAGAATTTTACTATCATCTCATAGATGGTAATATTCTTCAATAGAATAGTGACTTGCGATAAAGCTATATTTCAGTAGTCATTGTTAATTTAGATAGTACACTTTAGATATAAGTTATTTGAACGCATAAATCCATATGTAATGAAACAACTGTATGTTATACATAAAATGCTTTCCCAAATGGATCACCTTTATAATTAAAACAGTAATTTTCATAAAAACGAAAAGGATATGTAAGTAAATTACATGTCACATCTAACATATTGCTTTAGATGGTTTAATTTAATATGTTCATAAATCTAGATTTTTTAAAATATTAATGTACAAATATAGTAATAATATTTAAAATAAACAATAAATTACGCAGTAGAGAGTCCGAAAAAAGGTTATTTCATTCTATTTAATCCATCATATTGGGTTTGTTTAGATAAGTAGGTTTACCAAACATTATACGTTTCTCCCACATATGAGGATCATTTATCATTACGAGTGTAACTTGAAATCATGAAGAGTAATATTAGATACTTTCTCTTTTCTGGCATTTATTAGGACTAATTTGATGAATATGGAGTCAATCGTTCATAACTTCAGAATTTCTCAGCATATTTGGTTTTGCAGAGATGATAGTCTTTTATTACGAATTCTGGGAAGGAAAATAGTGTTATTATAAAAACTGTGTGAACTCATGGGAAGTTCAGAGTTCTGCATTTTTATTAGCATTTCCAGAAATTAAATTATTTTAGGATTTTTATAGCTTGTGTGGATGTCCCTTTGCAAGCCAGCGTATTTTCTTAAAATACCAGAAAGTACTGAACAGATTGCAGTTCTTTTTGAAATTCCAAAGCCAAAATACTAAATAGTTCAAATTAAAATTTTGTTTATCGTTTTTATTTAAATTAATTGGTCATTTGAACAATTTTTAAAAAATTTTGGTAAAAAGTCGGATAAAGTTCGTAATTGTCTAAAATTAATAATTAAAAAAAAAGTTTCTTAGCAGCAACGGAAATTTTCAAGGTTTTGCAGTACTAAATTGTGTTTCGGAGATTAAAAGTAATTGCTATAGGCATCAGTCATTTTAAAATTAATGTAATTTGCTTGGGCGGACACGGGCACGTGCGGCTTCAGGGGAACCGTATGCGATAGCATGACTTGTGGCTGAACCACCTTCACCTGTGCTGAAGGAGTTAGCAATAGCAATTGCACCACCGTTGGTGCCACCGAAATCAATTGGGAAGAAAGTACCTGCTGGCAATGGTTTTGCTGGTTTGGATCCCTGTGCGGCCTTAACTGGTTTAACTGGTTTCTTAGCGACTGGGCGGCGTGCATTGGGAATGCGAGCTGGGTGTTTGGGTACTACAGGTACGGGTGCAACATCGGTTTCATCATCTTCTTCATCCTCTTCGACTTGAGCCACAGCAACAGCATTTTCAGCTTCATCTTCAGCAACTTCCTCGCCTTCAGCAGATTGATCAAGTTCTACGTAGACCTTCTTTTTCGAAGGCAAGTAACGTCTAGCTGGGGTGGCAACGGGGGCAATTGGTGCAGGAGCGGGCAAATCGGCAGCAACTTCAACTACTGGCACAACAGGCACTTCAGGAACTTCAGGTTCAGTTTCGGCAACTGCAGCGGCATCAAAGTTATAGTCACGTGGTACTTTAGCCTCATCATTGCTTGCAATGACTCCCTCTTCATCAGCAGCGACTGGAGCAGGTTCTTCTACGGCTGGAGTAGCTACATCGGCAACATCATCAGCAACTGGTGTTTGTGGTAAACTTTCCTCAGGATATGCTTCAGCAATGGAATGAGCTACATGAGCACCAGCAGCACCTAAGACATCTTCGTTACGTTCTTCTTCGGCAACGATATCAACAGTTGGGCCTGCGGCGGCAACAGCACCATCTGCATGATTACAATCTTTATTTGACATTTTAAATAAGCAATTTATTAACTATAAAAAAGGGGTAATTTCTTTAGAAAGAAATAACCCCTTCAGATACCTACCCTCTAAGTAAGTGCTAGTGGCAACACTTTCTCCGGCAACTAAGGCAGCGGCAGCCTGTGTAGAACGAGCATGAGTACGGGATGGCTGTACATATTGCACATACATCATACGTTGTGGTCCGGAGTACCATTGTGCGGGTTGTTGATAATAAACCATTCCTGTTAAACGATATCCATTATTAAAATTCGTTTGAAGTCATTTAAGAAAATTAAGAATGACTTTTTATATGTTTAAAATTTTTCACAATATAATCACACTTCAGCACTCTGGGAGTGATTTTTTCTTTATATTTTTAATTAATTTTTTTGGGTGTCACATACTTTTTTTAGCTGGCAGAGCTGAGCCGGTTCCCGCTAATCCAACGATCACCACGATTAATATCAATGTTGCACTGAACTTCATTTTAAAAGCGGTTCCTTTTTAGCACAAATAAAAATTTAATAATTTAATCCTTTAGAAATTATAGCAGACAAAAATAGATTTTTCACACTGGAGCTAAACTTAACACTTAAGTTTCCACCAAAGAAGTGATGTCTTCCACAAATTCGCGTTAGATTTATATACGAAATGCTCGATTCGCAAAATCACACGCCACATATACGAGTTTATCCAAAATTTTTATTTATTTATTTATTTTTTTAATGACATAAGACGATCAAAGTCGCTGCTACTATAAATCCGGAGTGGTTGGAGCTGCTTAGCATGCAGAGAACGTTCTATTGTATCCGCACTATAAGTCAGAGACAACAACTACGTACGCCAATAAAACAACTCGCGTTTGATGTATTGAAATTGGTCAGTGCGAGTTGTTAGTGTGTCAGGTTGATCGGACAAGTGAACACTTCAACACTTCTATTGAGATTATGGATTAAAAGGGCATTGATAGGAGTTGGGACAAAGTGTATGATTGATTTAATTATTTTATATGCACGTTTGCAAATGTTTAGCATAATTTTGACTAGACAATTTTCTACTTTTATAGAAATAAATTTTTGACGATTTGGAAGAAGAAGGTTTTCGGTTACTAATAAATCATAGGAAGAAAGTTGACGTAAGAAGAAAGAAGAAGTTCTTTAAGAAGAAAATAGAAAAAATTTAAAAACGTGAGATTAATAACAAATTATTAAAAAATTAAAAATATTTATATATAATATATTATATATGTTCAATTTTATAATAAAAATTAATTAAATAAAACATTTTAAACAGTTGATTATACGCAATTTATATGTACTCTGTTTTTACAATGTAGCTTACATATATGTAATTATCTTTAACAGGTAATTAAAATATTCTACAATTCTTAATAGTGGGTTGATGAAAAAATATTAGGCGGTTTTAATAAAAATTTGAATTTTCGTTCTGATTTTAAAAACAATTTTATTAATCTTTACATTGTAATGAAATATTTTCTTATTATAGATAATTGAGAAATACCTAGGAGAATCTGTAAAGAATGAACGTATAAGTTTTCACCGTCCTTTTTTGCATTACTTTTTTACAGTCTATTTAATTTCAGATAGGAATAAATTATAATTTGATAGTGTAACATCAGTACCTAACACTGGTTAAGAAAAACTTTCTGTCTTTCAAATTTTGTCAGGGCATGAAAGATGCGTTTGGTAGAATAGTCACGATGAAATACAACACATTTTGAACTTTTTTCATGTTTTAAATCTATTAATTTGTGATAGTAAAAATTCGAATAAGTCGAATTCCACAGATTCATGGAAAAATGGTATTTGTTTAAAAAGGATGGTCGTTAATGAGTCAATCATCAATAATTTGATGTTAAACTTTATTTACATTAATTCATAAAAATTTTATTTATTTTTATCAGAGTGTAATCAAAAAGTGAATTATCACATGAATGATAGGAAAGTTTACGGGTGGGTCAAACCAACATTAAAGATAACGCGTTGTGTAAGCGTCGTAAAGGATTAAAGAAATTGTGCTTGCTAATAGAAAAATTATGATTAATCGAATTACTGAAGAAATATGAATAGATACGTCATAAGTAGAAGGATGTTTACGAATGTTTTGGACATGTAATTGGTTGAAACTAAATTTGTTACCAAAAATTAATTGCGTTTCCTATAGCTTTCCAACAGATAAAACATAATATCATTGTAATGTCACAACTACACTATTTTCTAGGCATGGCACCCTATGATTTTAACAATACTCCAGGCATGACAAAGTTAAGAATAGATGAGATAAAGGCATAATCGTAAGATTAATTTAAGATCCTATCTAAAAAGGCGCTTTAACGTTGTTAAAGAAGCAATGCTAATATATCTAAGTGCATTATATTAAAGGGTCTTATTTTAAAGGATAGAATAGTAACAGCCGATACTTAGGTACCCATTAATTCATGTGATACCCAAACATCACATAAAATATCAAATAAAGTTTGATTGACTGAAAACCATCAGTGAAACGATGCTGAAAGCAAATTATTATGGGCGATGAAAAATGAACCAAATACGATAATAACTAAAGCGAAATAGTCATATGGTCAATAGCCGTTGACCCTCCATATATGACTTCCAAGCTTGAATTGACGACAAAGAAGGATGCGTTGAAAGTTTGGTAAGATTGGAAAAGAATTGTCTATTACGACCTACTATACCCTGGAGCAACGGTTAATTCGGTGCTCTGTTGTTCATAACTCCATCACTTGAGTAAAACAATCAAAGAAAGTTGACCAGAATTAGTTAACAGAAAATGAGTTGAGTTCCATCATGATAATGCCAAAGTACACACATCTTTGATGATTTAGAACAAATTGACGGAATTGATTGGAAAGTTCTTTTGCATCCACTATATAGCCTGGACCTTAAACATTCTGCCTACTATTTGTTTTGGTCTCGCAAAAAAAAAAAAATTGGTGGACTGAAAAGCCATTGAAAATCGCTTGTACAAGTTTTAAGCCGATAAACTACAAAACGTTGATGGAATTATAAAGCTACTCGAAAAATTGCAAATATTAATAACGGCCAATCTTAACTTTATTAAAATTATATTTAAATGAAGTATATTTTTGTTAAAAAATGTACTAAAAATGAGGACTACTTTTTATATCACCCAATATAAATAAGACTATAATAAATATTTTGTGAAGTGACTGTTTGTCACTTATTTAATGTTTTATATTAGGGGTATTCACTCACATTACAAGGTGCATGAAATGCACAGATTGCGCGAGGTTGCAATGGACAACAACTAAATAAACGCAAAAAGTTTCTTGCAATTGCTTTCAATCTTGCTATACCAAAACTCATGTACATATGCTTGCAACGATGCAAAAAAGAAGAAAAAACAGCTGTTTTATGTTTGTTGCTTCTCATGTGGATGTGGTACTCTGCAAAAACAGCTGTTTTATTTTGATGTTACAATTCGGCAGCAGAGGTGTTCTCGCACGCTTGCAATTTCTTGCAATCGTCTTGCATTTCGTGCACCTTGCAATGACTTTGCAAGACAGAGTGAATATGTTATATGTTTTGCCGATATCACTTAGCAATGATTTTAAGTAATTCGTTTTGCCAAGATAGTTGGCGAATCTAATCGTTTGTTATTATCACTTAACCATGATAGCTTGTTATTGTTGATTGGTCAAATCGAGTAATTCGCCTGGTTGAAATAATATAACATACGCCTGTACAAGGTAATCGGCGAATTCGAACATAGCTAGAATAAAATATTCACATCTCAAATGAGGTGTTCCCAAGTATAATTAAAAGCGCAGTAAATTTTGCTACTGATCTGTTTATAAATCGTGGGTGTTGGTGTTTTATTCTGTGATTATTTTTGTGTTTACAATGAGTTCGAGCTTATTTCTTTCCCGTATATTCCAAAAACGATAAAACGATTTATCTCTGATTTGTTTTTTATTGTCTCAACATTGCTCATTAAATATTGGCACATGTTGGCAATAAAAAGGCAGCAAACATTGTTAAGGTCATTTAATGTACGGCAAAGGTTCCCTTGCGAATAATGATGTGAATTCCTAGGGATTTTTGCGAAACATACTCTGAAGTGGGTGAAGTGGGTGCAGTGGGGGAGTTTTGGGTTACTAAAATATTTAAGCGCGTGAAAAAAATAAAAAACCCATTCATGTTAAAAGCCGAGCTGAATTTCAAAATTTGTTTTTTATGTTTTTTAATATCAGAATTAAAAACAAAACTGATAGGAAGTCAGATCTGCGCTTATAGATATTGAAACACCGGTACATATATTGTGTTTATTGTTTTGTTTCGGAAGGTTTTTATATGCCGAAGTCGTATTTGAAACAAGAGCTTCAAAATTAAAAAACACTAAAGCATGCTGTAGTGTTAAAAGTAAAACAAATTCAAGAATTCCGAGGCAGATATTAAAAAGCACTTATAAGAAAAAATGAGTCGAATTGAAAAATGAATCATAGAAGAACTTCATTTGCTCCATAGGCCTTTGCTTATGGATTCCTCTTTATTGGATTGTGTGTTGGATTGTGATTTGAGGCGTCATCGCCATCTGTTAACGTCATAAGTTTCAAGTGAAGAAATTTTTTCATACTCGTAGTTTTGCAGTAATGAAAAATGCATTACCGCTCCGTATCTCCTTGTGTGGTGGGGGCGCTTGCACCATCGCGAAATCATGAGAAATTGCCTTTTAAAAATCAATTAACGTAAACGCATGCGTGACACGCAGCGCATTGCGTGCTTTGATTCCGTCACGACTCAAAAACTTCATTAAAAAATGAAAAAAAAAAATAAAATAATAATGAAATAATATTAAAAATGTTTATTGCGAATTGCGTTGAACGTGTGGAAAATTATTAATTAAACGAGCCAGGAAAGATGCATATGCCGATGATGATTAATTTTCTGCATTCACTGCAATATCACAGACGCATTCATCAAATTCGCTTACTTTTTGTAGTTTTTTTATGAAATGAAAAATTTCTTCTCAGGTTTTATTGTTTAATTTTAATTCGTGAATTCTGCAGTTTTAAATTTATTTCATTAAAATAATGAGAGTGTGAATATTGGCATGGTTTTCTTGTTTTTCCCCGTAACTCATGTTTTACTTGCCTTGTCATGTTCTTGTCATTTTTAATTGAAATTTTTATAAAATATGAGCGTCTTTCCTCGGTATTACCAAAAAATAATATTTATATAAAATATACAAATAAACATTGCATGAGTGAATTAATTTACATATGGCGACTGCATTTTAATTTAATAAAATCATTGCATTTCCTTGGATTGGTTTGGCAGCAATTCGACCACACTTTAGTGTAATGGATTTAACTCTTAACGATACATATCTTATGATCAAAAAAGAATTTAAAAAAAAACGCAAAATTTTAATTTTTAATAATTTTCTTTATTATCGTCTTCAAAGTACTCTCCTCCTGCGGCAATAGATGCATGCCAACGTTTGATCCAATTTTCCATACAAGTTTTATACGCCGCCGAAGGACCGCCGAAGTTCTATAAAAGACCGAATTCTTTTTTATGGGCTCATCTCAA